TGTCCCCAGTTGAGGGCATACAAGAGGCAATCACACATTGATGTTTCTCTCCCTCTCTTTCTTCCTCCCTTCTATTCTCTCTAAAAATAAAATAAAGTATTAAAATTTTTTAAGAGAGAAAAAAGAATGAAAAAGATGGACAGAATCTCAAACAAATGTGGGACATCACTAAGTGCTCCAACATATACAAATTAGGAATACAAAAAGGAGAAGAAAAGAGGGAAAGGAGTAGAGAAATATTCAAAGACATAATGGCAGAACAACCCCAAATTTGATTTAAAAACAATCTACACATTCAATAAGCTCAAACACTTAAAACAGGGCTTACAAAGAGATTCACAGCCAGATATGTACGTCATCATAGTGAAAATAATGAAGGCTGAAGGCAAAGAGAAAGTCTTAAAAGCAGAGAGAAAAACAAATACCCATCATATACAAGAGAAACCTACTAAGGATAACACCACACTTCTCATCAGAAGCAATGGGGACCAGAAGGCAGTAAGATGACATTCAAAGTACTGAAAGAAACATTGTCAACCAAGAGTCTTTTATTAATTTTTATTTATTTTTACTTTTTATTGTATTATTTCCATTACCATTTATTCCCTTTATGCCCTCTTCCCCCTGCAATCACCATGCTGCTGTCCTTGTCCTTGAGTCCTTTTCCTTTTTTGCTTGACCACTTCACCCCCTAACTGCCCCACCAGAACTGTCAGCCTGTTCTCCATCTATGAGTCTGCCTCTATTTTGCTTATTAGTTCAGTTTGTTTCATTAGATTCTACATATAAGTGAAATCATATGGTATTTGTCTTTCTCTGACTGGCTTATATCACTTAAAATAACATTTTCCAGGTCCATCCATCCTGTCACAAAGGGTAAAATTTTCTTCTTTTTCATAACTGAATAGTATTCCATTGTGTAAATGTTCCATAGTTGTTTTATGCACTCATCTACTGATGGATACTGGGGCTGCTTCCAAATCTTGGCTATTGTAAATAACACTGCAATGAATATAGGGCTACTTGTATTCCTTCAAATTAGTATTTCAGATTTCTTCAAATTCCCAGAAGTAGATTGCTGAGTCATAAGCCAATTCATTTTTAATTTTTTGCAGTAACTCAGTACTGTTTTCCACAGTGGCTGTACCAATCTGTATTCCCACCAACAGAGCAAAAATGGTTCCCCTTTCTTCACATCCTCACCACAACTTGTTTGTTGATTTATTGGTGATAGTCATTCTGACTGGTGTCAGGTGATATCTCATTGTGGTTTTACTTTCCATTTCTCTGATGATTAGTGACATTGAGCACCTTTTCCAATGTCTGTTGTCCATCTGTATACCCTCTTTGGAGAAGTGTCCGTAAGGCCCTTTGCCCATTTTTAACTGGATTGTTTATTTTTGGAGTGTTGAGTTTTGTAAGTACTTTATAAAGTTTGGATATTAACCACTTTACAGGTATATTGGCAAATATGTTCTCCCATTCCGTGGGTTGTCTTTTTATTTTGTTGATTTTTTTTTGCTGTACAAAAAGTTTAGTTTAATTTAGTCTCATTTATTTTTTCTTTTGTTTCCCTTGCCCAAGGAGATATATCAGAAAAAATATTGCTACAAACAGTGCCCAAAATTTTATTGCCTCTGTTTTCTTCCAGGATTTTTATGGTTTTCAATCCGATATGTAAGTCTTTAATCCATTTTGAGTTTATTCTTGTGCATGGTGGAGGAAGGTGGTTTAGTTTTTTTTTTTTTCCATGCATATACTGTCCAATTTTCCCAACACCATTTATTGAATAAACTATCTTTATCCCATTGTATGTGCTTGTTTTTTTCTGTCAAATATTAATTGACTGCAAAGGCATGGGTTTATTTCTGGGCTCTCTGTTCTGACCATTGAACTGTATATCTGTTTTTATGCCAGTACCATAGTGTTTCGATTACTATGGCTTTATAGTATAGTTTGATACTAGATAGTGATTCCTCCAACTTTTTCTTCTTTCTCAAAATTGCTGTTAATAATTTGAGACTTTTTTGGTTCCACAAAGATTTTTGAAATATTTGTTCTAGTCTTGTGAAATACATCATTGAATCTTGATAGGAATTGTATTGAATCTATAGATTGCTTTGGGTAGTATGGACATTTCAATGATGTTAATTCTTCCTATCCATGAACATGGCATGTGCTTCCACTTATTTGTATCTTCTTCAATTTCTCTCTTCAGTGTGTTATAATTTTCCAAGTACATTCTTATATCCTTGGTTAGATTTATTCCTAGGTATTTTATTATTTTTGAAACAATTGTGATTGGCATTGTTTTCTTAATTTCCCTTTCTGATAGTTCCATTATTGGTATATAAAAATGCACAGATTTCTGGATATTAATTTTGTACCCTGCTATTTTACTGAATTCACTTATCAGTAGTAGTAGACACTTGGTAGAATATTTAGGGTTTTCTATGTATAGTATCATGTCATGTCAATAATGACAGTTTTATTTCTTTCTTTCCAATTTGGATGCCTTTTAGTTCTTATTCTTGTCTTATTGCTGTGGCCATGGCTTCCAGTATATTGTTGAGTAGGATGGGTGAAAGCAGACATTACTTTCTTGTTCCCAGTATTAAGGAGAACACTTGTAGTTTTTGCCTGTTAAGTATCATGCTGGCAGAAGGTTTTTCATATATGGCCTTTATTATGTTTAGGTATGTTCCCTGTCTTCCCACTTTGCTGAGCATTTTTATCATAAATGGGTACTAGATTATATCAAATATTTTTTCTACATCTATTGATATGATCATGTATTTTTTATCCTTCATTTTGTTTATGTGGTATACTACATTACATTTATTGATTTCAACCAAGAATCTTAAATCCAGTAAAAGTAGCTTCAGAAAATGAAGATGACATATACAGGATATTTCAGCCTCAAGTAGTAAAATATATATTTTTTCAAGTGCACATGGAATATTCTCCAGTATAGAGCATAGTTACACCATAAAACAAGTCTAAGTACATTTGAAAGAGTTGATTGATATTATGCAAAGAATTTTCTCCAAATGTAATGGAATTAAATTAGAAATCAATGACAGAAGAAAATTTGAAAATTCACAAATACATAGAAACTAAACAACACACTCCAAAATAACAAGTAAGTAAAGGATGAAAACACAAGGGAAATTTTAAAATATCTTGAGAAGATCAAAATGAAAACCAAATATCCAAAAATCTGATAGTAACCAGAGGGGAGGTAGGAGGGCATAATGTGGGGAAGGGTTTTCAGGAACAACTGTAAAGGACACATGTACAAATCCAAAGGGAAAAGGAAGCAAGGGAGGGATTGGGGATGGCTGGGGTGGGAGGAACGGTGGGGGGTAAATGCAGACAACTATAATTGAACAATAAAATAATTTTTAAAACTTATAGGATGAAGCTAAAGAAATACTCAGAGGGAAAATTATATTTGTAAAGGCTTATATTAAAATTAAAGAAAGATTTTCACAAAATTTGGAAGGCAGTCTTTTTTTAAATTTTATTTTATTTTCCTTTAAATTCTTTTTTTAAATTTTATTTAGTTATTTTTCAAGTACAGTTTTTTTGTCTATTTCTCCCATCCCAGCCTCCCCTGCCCCTTGCTCCCCACCTCCCTCCCATTTCCACCCCCCTTAGTTCTCGTCCCTGTGTCCTTCCTATTTGTTCCTCCAAATCCCTCCCCTTTGTTCCCCTTAAATTCCCTTTCTTCTCCCCTCTGCTCACTGTCCCCTTGTTCTCTATTTCAATGTCTTTTTTTTTTCTGCTTGCTTGTTTGTTTTGTTGTTTAGCTTCCTGTTAAAGATGAGATCATATGGTATTTTTCTTTCAACACCTGGCCTACTTCATTCGGCATAATGCTTTCCAGTTCCATCCATGTTGTTGCAAAGGGTAGGAGCTCCTTCTTTCTCTCTGCTGCAGAGAATCCCATTGTGTATATGTACCACAATTTTTTGATCCATTCATTTACTGACGGGCACCTAGGTTGCTTCCAACTCTTAGCTATTGTAAATTGTGCTGCTATGAACATTGTGGTGCATAGGTTCTGGAAGGCAGTCTTTACCTCGGAATTTCTTGGGTTTCTACAGAGATGGCAGAATAGTTATAATGAAAAAAATGAGGGTCCCATCCTACTGAGTGATAAAGAAATACCTATGGATTTAACTGGTGACAATTGTTTTGTTTGTTCCTTCAAACTTTTGTGCATACAGCAGCCAGAAACTGAAGGTGATTGAGGTCATTATCCTGGACTTTCCCTTAAAACTGAGGGAGTGCCTATTTATCCCAATAGAGGGTTTTGTTTTTTTTTTTTTGGTTTTTGTTTTGCCACAGCGGGAAATGACTTGAATTGGCTGTTTTAGTTTCTTTGTTTATGACCAGGGCCCTGTGTTTTAATTATCTTTACAAGTGAATAATGGGCAATAGCCACAATCTAGTTGACTGGTAAAAGAATTGTGTGGTGTTTACTACAGTATAAAAAATGTGCATGTCTTTGATACTGGAAAGTTTTGGTGACACTTTAAAATTAACCAGCTGACTCAGTTCTCCTCCACATATTCTGCTAGGCTTTTTATGACCCCCTTTCCTCCCATTCTCATATTATGGGATTTTGTATGTATATATATATTTTTTGTTTTTCTTCCTTGACTTGAATTTCTGAAACTCAAAGTCAGGCTGATTTCAATCCTATTTTGAGAATTCTGACCAAGATCAACCTGTTCCTGTTATATCCAGATGCTGACTCTTTATACCTTTTGGTTTCCTTTCTAAACCCTTAAGACCAATTGCTGCCTCAGCCAACTACATAAGTGAAAGAGTAGGGGTTTCGGGGTAAAGTTATATTCCTCACTTGAAATGAGCTATGGATAACAGCTAAAGTCAGTTTTAGTATGGGAAATTTGAAGAGAGGCTGTATAGGAGAAGATTATAGGTGGTCTATATTTTGACAGCTAAAATTTAATTTTCTCTTCTTCTTACAGTAAGTACAAATGGATTCTTGGTGAGGAACCTATGGAGAAACGAAGAAGGCTCCAGAATGAAATGACAACACCTCCTCTTGATTATTCCATGTCTGGCTCTTACAGGAGGGTAGAGGCAGCTGTTGCTTACCCAGAAGGGGAGAATAGCCATGATAAATCCAGTTCTGAGAGAAGCACACCACCATACCTTTCTCCAGAGTACCCAGAAGCAAACAAGAATACGAGTCAAAGTAGGGGGGGTTCAGTTCTGTATTCAGGGGCCCAAGAACAACACCAGGGATCCATGCTCCCTGAAGAATTAGAAGATCAGATGCCAAGATTGGTAGCAGAAGAATCTAACAGAGGCAACACAAATATAAGCAAAGAGGAAGTAAACAAGGGACTTTTTGTAGCTGTTGTTGGTGTTGCAAAAGGTGTTCGAGATTCAGGAGCTCCCATTCAGCTGATCCCTTTTAACCGAGAGGAGCTTGCTGAGAGAAGAAAAGCAGTGGAATCCTGGAACCCAGTGCCTTATCCTTCTGTGACCTCTTCTATAATTCCTGCTGTAGCCACTAGGGAGAAAGGAAGAAGCTATGAGGAGAGTGGAAGTTGTCATATGCCAAAGATGAAGAACCAAAGACAGCTAGAAGAACTGAAAAGAACCACAGAAAAATTGGAACGTGTTCTGGCTGAAAGGAATTTGTTCCAGCAAAAGGTTAGGGCAGCACCTTACCACTAGGAGTAAGTGGTTATGGTAACCAAGGGACCAGAGAATTAGAATTCTGATGATTTCGTGTTCTGAAGCCTTTAAACAAGATTAAGTCACTGAATCATTCTGTGGTATATTTCAAATTAGGTGACCCCTAGTGGGCTTCCCTCCCATACATTGGAATAAGAAAAGTCCAAAGTCAAGGAATATTTGTAGGGGAATCGCTGAGTGAATATATTAGTGACAATTTTTGCCACTTGGAAATATTAGGAATAATTTTGCCACTTTCATAGCATGTACTCATTGAATTTATATTTCTTGGAATGCAGGTGGAGGAGCTGGAACAGGAGAGGAATCACTGGCATTCTGAATTCAAGAAAGTCCAACATGAATTGGTGACCTACAGTACGCAGGAAACGGAAGGCTTGTATTGGAGCAAGAAACACATGGGCTATCGTCAAGCTGAATTCCAGATTCTGAAAGCTGAGCTGGAAAGAACCAAAGAAGAAAAGCAAGAATTAAAAGAGAAACTAAAGGAGACAGAGATGCACCTGGAAGTGCTGCAGAAGGCTCAGGTCTCCTACAGGACCCCAGAGGGAGATGACCTAGAAAGGTTAATTACTAGGGTTTAGTTATCAGCTTGTGAGTGCTAATGGGAAGCATCTCTTACGGCCCCAGTTACTGGTCATAGATAAGGGAGGAAGTCTGAATCAATTCATAAGCCACCAAGGATTGAGGAATTACCTCTTAGAGAGCTGCAGCGAATCTCCCTCTGCTTGGTGGCATTGTGCTTCTTTCTTTGTAGCTAATGGAAACATAATTGTTGAGAATTGTAGGCCCATTTTTAAGGACTTTCATTTTGTTCTGTTGGCTAATGACTTCATGTCATCTCTTCTCCTGCCCCCTCACTCCATCATACAGGGCTTTGGCAAAGCTTGCGAGGCTGCGTATCCACGTCAGCTATCTCCTTACTTCTGTCCTCCCTCACTTGGAGCTTCGTGAGATCGGGTTTGACTCAGAACAAGTGGATGGGATCCTGTATACGGTGCTGGAGGCAAATCACATACTGGATTGAGCACTAGACCATATACTCTATCTACCCTTCTCTTTTCTCCCTTTCTCTTCTCCCCTCTTCTCCCCTCTTCTCTCTTATCTCCCTCCTTTCGTCCCTCCCTCCCCCACTTTCCTCATATTCTCTCTTGCCTTTATGCCTTATATAGAGAATCTTTGAGTAAATCCTGGCTCTTAATCAGTCTGCTTCTTATTCAGTTTGGCGTGAGGAAAGAGACTAGTTCAATAGGCTTTTAAGAGTTCTAGCAACAGAAATGCAATAGTCACAAAACCAGGTGACCTGAAATCTTTAGCTTTCATGACTTAGATACTTGGCCTTTTTTATATCCTTTCTGAAATGGTTTGTATTCATTTAGGTTAAATCAGTCAATAAATATCGGATTCAAAGTATTGGGTTGGCCAAAAAGTTTGTTTGTTTTTCTGTAAGATGTCTCTAGTAGCATTTAGTTGACTTTAACTTCATTTCAAACCATTTTGTTAGATTGTATTGTGACAGCTATCATATCAGCATTCTTAAAAAAATAAAACCTTACCAAAATTGGTGAATTTTTGTTGCCATTTTAATATTGAAAATAGAAGAAAGTACACAACATTTTTGGCATATTATGCCTTATTATTTCAAGAAAAGTAAAAATATAACTGAATGCAAAAAATGATTTGTCTAGTGTATGGAGAAGGTGCTATGACTGATTGAACAAACATATCAGAAGTGGTTTGTGAAGTTATGTGCTGGAGGTTTTTTGCTGGATGTTGCTTCATGGTCGGGTAGACTAGTTGGAGACCAGCCATCAAATCAAGACATTAATTGAGGACAATCAACATTATACCATGGAGGAGATAGCTGACATACTAAAAATACCCAAATGAATAAAGTTATTGGTGAATGAGAAATGTGTCTTTTATTTTACAGGAAAAGCTAAATGGACTTTTTGGCCAACTGAATACTAAGTGTTCTGGGATAAATTAAGAAGTATAACTCAAGGGTTCAGCCTTCAAGGATTGAATAATATAGTTGGAAACACAAGATATGCACCAAATTAACTTGTACAAGAGAGAGTAGTACAAGCATGGTAGGGAAGGTCTGGAGGAGGAAGTTCAAGGAAGGCATCACATCAGAAATGGAACCTAAACTAAGGTTTGTTTAAAGAACAAGCAAGACCACACTTCAAAACAGTTGTTATTTAGGTGGTAGGACTATGGTTGATTTTTTTCTTCTTGCTATCTTCTTGCCTTTTTCAAATTTTCTATAAAAACCTGTCATTCCTACATTGGAAAAAATAAATCATTTTTAAAAGAATGAGTAGGTTTGGATTTAGATATCAAATGAGAGACTGTGAAACTATAAGTTGATTTTATATTTGTAATTTGTTTATTTTGCATTCTGGAAGAATAGCATGAGCAAAGGCATGGAAAAAGCTGGAATGTAAAAAATGTGTTTAATAAGAATGATGGGTTAATGTAAAGAGAACTAAGGTTAAATCATGACCCATCTACCCACCTCCCTCTGTGTTTTTTTGCATTTTAATGAAGAATTCTTGGAAAAGAAATCTTTAAAGCCCAAATTAAAAAAAAATAAGGTATCACCAAACTGCCAAAAGAGAAAAGGAATATGGATTTTCTTTCCCACAGATATTCTTTTTTTATTGAATTTATTGGGGTGACACTAGTTAACAAAATTATACAGGTTCTAGGTGCACAATTCTACAATACTTCATCTGTACACTGTATTGTACCACAGACACTCTGAATATCATCAAAAGGAAGCTCTTTTTAAAAAAGATTTTATTTATTTATTTATAGAGAGAGAAGAAGGGAGGGAGAGAAACATCAATATGTGGTTGCCTCTGGCACACCCCCTACTGGGGACCTAGCCTGCAACCCACACATGTGCCATTACTGGGAATTGAGCCAGCAACTCTGCTTCACAGGCTGGCACTCAATCCACTGAGCCACACCAGCTAGCCACTGCAAAAGGAAGCTCTTTAACATACAATGTTGAAATGTTGTTAATTACAGAATATAATCAGAAGAAGCCTATAAAGACCAGGTCTTGACAGTTAACAGGAACCTAAACAACAAAACAAACAAGCAAGCAAAATATAACCAAAGACACTGAAATAGAGAATAGGCTGACAGGGACCAGAGGGGAGAGGGGAGGGAATTTCAGGGGAAAAGGGGAAGGGTTTACAGGAACAAGTATAAAGGACACATGGACAAAAACTAAGAGGGGTGGAAGTGGGAGGGAGGTCGGGAGCACTGGGGGGTTGGGCTGTGATGGGAGTAAAAGACAGAAAACTGTACTTGAACAATAATTAAATAGAGAAATTATTATGAAAAAAAGTAAAAGGAGAAAAAATTTCTGAGGAGTCTTGTTAATTTTTTCCAAGAGCAAAACAGTTCATCTCAAGAGAAGAAAGAACTATCCATAGGGAGAGAACAGATAGAACAAGCTTCAAGGAAATAAGTTCCTGGCACATGTTAGGAAGGCAGAACATGCTTGTTAGATGAACAAACTGGCACCTAGTAGAGGACTAGGTCAGAGACTTTGGATCAAGGGAACAGGAAGATTTGTCCATGTCTAGAGATTGCAAATAATCTGGGTAACAATTAGAGGCAGAGGCTTAATTGTCAGGCTCTCAGTTTCCAAGGGCCATGTCCAGATAGAATGTGTTTCAGAGTTTTGTGCTATGAATTAGTACAGTATTTAAGTATGGAGGTGTGCTCAGGAAAGCTTCAGGGGGTGAGCTTAGGTTTAAGTCAAAAGAAAAACGTGTGTTTGTTGACAAGGACATTCCTAACTCAGGACTTATTTTAGGCAGAGAGGACATTCAGGAACCATCCTTACTGAATCAAAAGTTAGGGCAGATGTTTAGTTTATAAACTAGATAATTTGAAAGAACTTCCTTAAATAGTTTGAGTGTATATTAAAGCTTTAGTCATTCATTGAAATTAAGAACAAACATAATAACTAGAGGGGAGGTGGGAGGGGATAATGAAGGGAAAAGGGGGAAGGGTTTTCAGGAACATCTATAAAGGACACAAAAAAACAAAAGGCAGTAGGATCAAGGGTGCGAAGTGGGGATGGGAAAATGAAGATAACTATATTTGAACAACAATTTTAAAAAGCTAAAAAATAAATAAAGCCAGAAAAACATTTTTGAAAAAGCTTTAGTCCTTAAAGTTTTTATGCTTTTGTAATAAAAAATAAAATCTGCAGGAGAAATGTGTTTTCTTACTTGCCTCCACCCCAAGCCCAAAGTTTTCATGTGTATCACCAGAAATCTCAAACCCACTTTTATATAATGACAGTTCAACTGTTTTTGATGCCTTCTATGTGCCAACACATTCCATTCATCTGCCCATTGAGTCCACAGAGGCATGCAAAATGACTTTAGGAAGGAGGTCAGAAAGTGTTCCCCAAAGGCCTGATCTTCCAGTTGGGCTGTAGAAACTTGTAAGGACTGAGAAGATAGAGCTGTGTGGGGGAAGATTGTTCTATGTATAGGCAATAGTGTAAGCAAAGTCACAAGACTAGTTGGAGGGGAAAGGTATGAGTAATAGTGAATTATTTAAGTTGGAGCATAAGGAACAGAGTAGACCAAGGGGGAATGCCAGCAAGAGGGAGGTTATGCTAAATTTGCTGAACAATGGAGATTTGTAGGCTGTGAATTAGGAAGTGGCTGTTGAAATCTCCCCAGTTGTCTCCAAGTTTAGGAAATTAATCCTATTTTGCAGTTTCCTTGGGCTAAGCTTTTTTCTAGTATTGGGATCTCATTATTGATCATGGTTCTTTTTCACCTCAGATTTTCACAGATCTGAACAAGAGTCAAAGAGCCTTGACTATCCCTTTCCTCTCTAGAGTCGGCTCTTCTCTTGGCTTTGTTTTTAAGATTTTATTTATCTTTAGAGGGGAAGGGAAGGAGAGAGGGAGAGAAATATCAGTGTATGGTTGCCTCTCGTACGTCCCCTGCTGGGAACTGGCCTGCAACCCAGGCATGTGCCCTAACTGGGAATTGAACCTTGATCCTTTGGTTTGCAGGCCTGTGCTCAATCCACTGAGCTACACCAGTCAGGGCTTGGTTTTTCTGTTAATGGAATCTGAAAAATAGAAGCCTACTCAATGTCTTCAAAGTATTTGGACTTTTGGGAAGAATATTGAGAAGTTTTGGCCTGGGAATGAATATCCCCTTGCTTGTGTAGATTTAGATCTGTTGGTAGAAAATATACTTCATCATTTGCCCTCATTCTTTAAAGACACAAATTTTGGAATCACTTTGACAATACCCTTTAGGTCACCAATATGCTTAGAACAGTTAACCAGGGCCTACTATCTCCCGTGACCACACTGAGAAGCAGGTGTCATCATTATTTTACAGATGAGCAAACTAAAGTGTAAAGAATTGAAGTGATACTCTCAAGTTTATACAGTTAGAGAATGGAGAGCCAAAACCAAATCCTTGTCTGGCTCCAAAGCCCAGTTTTTTTTCTTGCCACACCAAACTGCCTATCTTGGAGCTGATTAGTCTTGACTCCTTCCTTTTGATAAGAAAATGCTAAATGTACCACAGCTTTTTTTTTTTTATTCACTCATTTACTAATGGGCACTTGGGCTGTTTCCACACTTGGCTATTGTAAATTGTGCTACTATGATCAATGCATATATTCTTTGGAATTGGTGTTTTGGGGTTCTTAGGGTATATGCCCCTAAATGGGAATCACTGGGTCAAAAGGCAGTTCCATTTTTAATTTTTTGAGGAAACTCCATTGTGTTTTCCACAGAGGCTGTACCAGTCTGCATTCCCAGGGACAGTGCACGAGGGTTGCCTTTTCTCCACACTCAGTTTCCAAGGAAGAAATTTCCACAATTGCATACAATGTTTAAATGCCCTCATAATCAGGACATTGTCCACTTATGTAATAAATATCTCTCCACACAACATAGACATTTGTTTCTTCTTGACTGGATTTTTCACTCAGGGCTGTCACTTGGCAGCTTTCCTGATATCAAAACAGCCATCAGGAGGTCTTGGACTTGTTGGCCTCTGCCTTGTAGTTTTCTCACTGGCTTCTTTTCACCCACCCAAAGAATGCTGAGTTAAGCAAGTCTCTTGGGGAGTGACACTTGAGAACATACTGGTTTATTATTACATGCAGATGAGTAAAATTAACCACATCAGCTGCCTCTGGAATTGCCAGGAGGAAGATGGCACCACCTTTCTTGTCTGCCTTTTGTTTTTTAGTTTTTGTTTTGCTTTGTTTTTTGGTTTCTACTTTGTCTCTATTCATAGAGGTGTTGAATCATTTAAAGAGTGCATGTGTTACTCATGGAAGTCTCCTGCTCCCCCAAATTCCAGTAACCATTGTTTCTGAATCAGTGTTCTTTATTTTAAACACATTGATCTCATCTTTTTATTATGGCTGCTTTTAAGGCTAAACCAAGAAACTAGAGCAAATTCTGGTTCTGATGGCTAGTTTGTCTGAATCTATTTCTCTTCCCATAAAAAATACTTACTTTTTCACCAAGGCATTCAGTGCCTTTAACTCAAGGGGGTAAGGTCTTTTTTTATTTTTATTTTATTAAATTGTTCAAGTACAGTTTTCTGCCTTCCCCCCCCTCCCCAGCCCAACCCCCCCAGCCCTTTTCACTTCCTTCCCATTTCCACACCCCCCACATCATTGTCCATGTGTCCTTTATATTTGTTCCTACAAACCCTTCACCCTTTTCCCCTGAAATTCCCTCCCCTCTGGTCACTGTCAGCTTGTTATCAATTTCAGTGTTTTTGGTTATGTTTTCCTTATATTTTGCTTGTTTGTTTTATTGATTAGGTTCCTATTAAAGGTGAGATCATATGGTATTTGTCTTTGACCGCCTGGCTTATTTTGCGTAGCATAATGCTTTCCAGTCCCATACATGCTGTTGCAAAGGGTAGGAGCTCCTTTATTTCTGCTGCATAGAAATCCATTAATGTAAATGTACCATAGTGTTTTGATCCATTCATTTACTGATGGACACTTAGATTGCTTCCAGCACTTGGCTATTGTAAATTGTGCTACTATGAACATTGGGGTACATAGGTTCTTTTGGATTGGTGTTTCAGGGTTCTTAGGATATAACCCTAGCAGTGGAATTGCTGGTTCAGAAGGCAGATCCATTTTTATTTTTCTGAGAAAATTCCATACTGTTTTTCATAGAAAGAGCAAAAAAAAGGAAAAGAGGCCCAGAAAGAATGAAGAGTGATTAAGGGAAATACAAAACAATATGAAATGTAATAATATCCAAATAATAGGAATACCAGAAGGAGAAGAAGAAGAGCAAGTGATAGAAAACCTGATTGAAAAAGTAATGATGTAAAACTTCCCTAATTTGATGAGAGAAAAATCACACAAATCCAGGAAACACAGAGTCCCAATAAAGAGGAACACAAAGAGGCCCACTTCAGAACACATCATAATTAAAATGGCAAGATTCCAAGACAAAGAGAGAATCTTAGAGGCAGGAAGGGAGAAACAGGAAGTAACATAAAAGGTAGCTCCAATAAGGTTAGCTGACTTCTCAGTGGAAACCCTCAAAACCAGAAGAGAATGACCAGAAATATTCCAAATAATGAGAACCAGAGGCTTGCAGCCTAGGCTACTTTCTTTACCCAGCAAGGGTCTCAATCAAGATAGAAGGCCTAATAAGGAGCTTTCCAGACAAAAGAAGTCTAAAAGAATACACCTCTACCAAAGCAGCTCTGCAAGAGACGCTAAAGGGGCTGCTTTAAGTAAAGGAAGGAAAAGAGAGAGAGAGAGAGGAATACAGGGAGTAAGGTCTTAACAATATCATCAGATATCCTTTGTGGGGGATTCTGATACACCCTCTTGCATCCCATTATATAATTTTAGAAATAAATTCAAATGAAAGGATGCAAGAAGCATTCCTTCTCTCTCTCTCTCTCTCTCTCTCTTTCTCTCTCTCTCTCTCTCTCTCTCTCGTGTTTGACTGGCCTTTCTCCTGAGCAACACAACAGAACTTCATCAACTATTACAGACTCTGAAAGTGCTGCTGGAGAAAAGGAGTTAACCACTGAAATGCTGGGTAGCTTGCCACAGTACTCATACTTTTTAGCCATCTAATTTTACATCCCATTATA